CTGGGCAAGAGTCCATCCACTTCATGGGCCTGCCTTGTAGTTAGGTGACTTGGGAGAGTTCTAGCAGGTGGACCATCAATGGAAGCGAGGTACACAAAGCCTTCCTTGAATGATTCTTCGTGCCTTCCCCCTTTCTGCCAGCTTGATGTGCTTTTGGGTTGAACACATCAGAGCTCTAATGGGAAAGAAACTTGGGCCCCATACAAATAAATGCTCCCGGGAGAATTGTGTGCCATTCAGAGCTTTGCGGGGATGAGAAATATACTCCTGTAATTATGTGCCAGGAGAGGTTTTGCATTTATTTGTTGTAGCAGCTAGTGTTATGTTAATGAATATATTCACATTTATGGTACAGGAATTTTAGCTTGCTGACCCCTCAGTATGTTTTAGATACTATTGAATGTTGCATCAAATTTAATTCTCTCAATGGGCTGTTGAAGTAGTTGTAACTGTCATTTCACAAACGAGGGAAGTAAGGCTCAGAAAAGTTAAGCAACTTGCCTGAGACAAATTCTGTTGAGACAGGATTTGAACTCAGGTCTGCAAGTCTCTGAAGTATGCTCATGACCTTCCCAATGAGCCACCAGAGGGGAAAGTACTATACAAACTGCACAGAGAGCTCAGCTAGAGGTACCTGCCCATTTGTTCGTTCATTCACTCATTCATTAGCTTATTCAACAAACACTTATTCTGTGCCAAGTCCTAGACACGGGAGATAGGACGCCCTTTTTAATGACACAGAAGTAGTAACTTAATTTTTGTTCTCTGATGACCTGAAATTCTAAATGTACCTTCTAGTTTAGGTTACTCCTGACAAATGGTGGAAATACTCAGAAATGAGCTCTCAACTTCTAATTTATTCATTTCTAGTCAAAAAGAGTGAGTACTTTGCTTAAGATGCATAAATTATTACTACCGAGAGATGTTAGCCTTATGAATATCTGGCTTAATAAAGAATCAGGGCTTTTTCTCTGAAATTGAGGAGGGACGTTCTCATGGCTGAACACGCTCCTGTTCCCCATATTATTAGGGTGTGAGGACAGTGAAGAGGGGAGAGGGCCAGCATACATTCTGTATGGGGTGCCATCATATCGCAACTGGCAGATTCGGCCAAACTCATGATGGCACAGCCTGGGAGAAAGAACGATGTTATTTAAATAAATAATAGTTCTGCCCTGGCCAGTGTGGCTCAGTTGGTCAGAGCATCCTTGTACACCAAGGGGTTGGGGTTCGATTACTGGTTAGGGCACATACCCAGGTTGTGGGTACGATCCCTGGTCAGGGCATGTGTGGGAGGCAACTGACCGATGTTTCTTTCTCTCTCCCTCCCCTTAAGATCAATTAAAAAATAAAACATAGTTCTATAATAAATAATAACTCTATTATAAGAGCTAACATGCTTTTATTATAGAAATTTATGAAACTACTACAGTATAAGAGCAAAGTAGAGCAGAAATAAAAGTTTACCATTTTTCAAATACTCTGCATGGAGCCTGGAGTACACAATTCATTGTAGTTTACGTAATATTTCATTTTAGGGTTTAATCCAGTGAAGATTTAATACAACCTTATTAGACTAGGAGAAGTATTTTCAGGCTGTATGGCTCATAAGACAAGTTCGGTTTTAACAAATACATTGAGGTTAAAACTGTAAACAAATGAAAATTGCAATTGATACGAGATCTAGTAATTCAGAGTACTACAACTCTCAAAGTTAAAAAGATTTTAAAGAACTTTACAGAGCCCCACCCCATTCTTTTTTTTTTTAGCTAGCGCTGGTGTCATAAAGAAGCATCTTCTTTAAAATAAGTGGGTTGGGTTACTGTAGAATAAAAATCTGACCCTTTTTTTTTTT